TAAGGAGATTTGTGATTAAGAGACCTTTTTGGCATGCGGTTGATCAGGAAATTTGCAGTAGCCAACGCCTCAACCCAAAATTTTGCTGGGAGATTGGCTGTGCAAAGAAGTGTGACAAGAGTTTCAACCAAGTGACGGTGCTTTCTTTCAGCGACACCATTTTGTTCAGGAGTGTAAGGACAAGATTTTTGATGAAGAATCCCCAAATTTTGTAAAAACAGACCAAACTTTTTATTGACATATTCCCTCCCATTATCTGTGCGAAACAACTTAAGTCGTGCATTGAACTGAGTTTGAACCATAGATTGGAAACTAAGAAAAGCATCAAATGCATCAGATTTATTTTTAAGAGGGTACAACCAGCAAAACTTGGTATAATCATCAATAAAATTAATATAAAAATGATAACCTCCAAAGGAGGGTACAAAAGTAGGTCCCCATACATCAGAGTGAACAAGCTCAAAAGGAGCAGAAGTTTTAGTTTCAGACACAGGGAAGGGGAGTTTATGAGACTTAGCAATAGAACAAGAATTACAGTGATCAAGATGCTGAAATTTAAAACCTAATTGAGACAATAAAGACTTAGTGACTAAAACTGAGGGATGACCAAGACGACAGTGCCATTGAAACGGAGTGACTTTGACAGAGTTGACCACCAGAGACGAGGGAGATGCCGGTATGGAGTACAGACCACACTCACAAGGGCCCTTGAAAAGAACTTGGTTGGTGAGATTGTCCCGAATCGTAAAATCCTTAGAGGTAAAAAGAAGAGAACAATTGTTATATTTAGTAAATTGATGGACTGAAAGGAGATGGGAGTTAATGTGAGGGGAATGGAGAAGGTTGGTTAAGGTAAAAGTGTGGAGAGGGGTGGTGAGTATACCTGAGCCTGTATGGTCAATGGGATAGGTGTTACCTCCTGCAGGTGTGATGGAATTGGTGCCATGGTACGGAGTCAAAGTATGCAGTCGAGACAGATCAGGCGTAACATGGGTGTTTGTGCCAGTGTCCAGATGCCAGTTCGAACTAGATTCAGCAGATTGATTTGCATAAAACGCCTGCGGAGGACTAGCATATGATTCATCGTAGCGGTGCCAACAATTCCAGACCGCATGGCCAGGCTTCCCACAGAGTTGGCACGTGATGGACCCCCGGCCACCTCCTCTGCCGCGTGCGTCGTCGGGGTACTGCGGCTGCCGGCCGCCTCTGCCCGCGGTAAGGCCCTCCTCGGCCTCGCTGTGGTCCACGGCCACGACCCCGACCATTGCCTCGTCCGGAGTTGGTGTAGAGAGCATTATGAATGTCAACAGACGAAGTAGAGGCGGAGTCACCAAGAGACAATTTTTTCTCAAAAGATAAATTCAATTCTTCAGACAACAACCAAGAGGAGACCTGATTAAAGGTGACGGTGGCAATATTGGTGCGAATATTTTGCTTGAGGGAGGCATAGTCGGCCGGTAGACCTCGTAGAACACAAAGGATAATATCTTGTTCAGAGATTTCTTCATGAGCCAGTTTGAG